AATGGGGGGGGAAGTGGGGGGGGTGGTTGTTGCGTTGTTCGCGGCTTGTTCAGGTATGTACCACCATGCAAATATTTGCAAATATTTGTTCTGGATTACATGTATGTTTCATATCTCCTAAATTGAAATAAAGGATCGTAACTTTATTTAAACTACGTGTTCGCAATGTAACTACGGCAATATAGCATAGCTTAGCAGGTAATCGTTGCTAGGTACTGCGTTAACATTACCTTACTTTAACTTAGATGGGCTAGCAGTCAGGCTAATGTATGCTAATATAAGGACTCGTTTGTGTAGAAGCGCCACAGTGGCGCTCGTAACCTCAGTAGTTGTACATTATCATAACATTACACCCTAACGTGTTTATTATTAGTGTTTGCCTACAATTGTGCTAATTTAAGAGCGCGTATTTTAATGCAAGAGCCATACTCTCACGTCTGGTCACATAGCTGACCTAGCTAATGTTGTTAGCGAATGCACTGTCATCAAGAAGACAGAAAGTCTGAGGCCTCTGAACATAAACCAATCACTAAGTTAGCTAGCTGGCAGGCTTCTAGCCTGCTAGGGTTAGGTTACGGTATAATTAACTACAGTCCTGTTGCTTATCCTAATTTATTCTGTCTTCCTTCATCTACTCTTCCTTTGTCAGGAAATTCCCTTAATATTTTCTTACATACTATTTCACATTTGCCAAATAAGACATTTCTCTCTTGGAAGGAAATGTCACTAAGCCAGGAGTTGAAATATTTTATATGATAACTTTGACATGCACAGAAAATAAGTGGTTGAGTCTGCAGAGTAGTGAGTCAGTGTTTGAATAGTGCTTCACTATACACACGTATTAAAGAGTAAACTCAGCCAGTAATTTGATATATTTTATATCATAATTAGAACAGCCTACAGTAGTAAACTACTGGGGATTATAGACGGCTACTTAGTTTGGCTCCACTTCACTCTGCTTCTCTTCCTGATAAATACAAATAGCAATATGCTATCTCAAAATGTGTGACTGCTGTAAATGAGTAACAAAGCTGCAATGAGAAAAGCTTTCATATGCGTCTTATGTTTGTATCATGCCTCTGAGTTGCTTGTGACACTTACTGGAATGCCACAGTTCTTCATTGCTCACACTTGTGGGTTGGTGCCACTCCAAAACACATGCTCATGTGAGACTGGCCCACAGATAGAGGTTGCTTTCTCACAGTCAGTCTTGCAGACACGGTTATAAGGAATTTGTAGCTTTATTGTCAGGTCGACATGTTTAACTTTACATTCTTCTTTTCTCTTTCGTAGGTGTGAGCTGTGACGCGTGTTTAAAAGGGAACTTTAGAGGAAGACGGTTCAAGTGTTTAATTTGCTACGACTACGACCTGTGTGCATCGTGCTATGAGAGTGGAGCCACAACAACAAGACACACCACAGAGCACCCCATGCAATGTATATTAACCAGGGTAGACTATGGTAAGGACCTGGCTGAAATCCCAGAGCAACTTGAGTGGCTTACTAATCAAACACTAATTCATCATGCCTGTGTTGTAGCCTACTGTGTCATTGCAAATCATACAACATGATTGCAGTTATGGTTAATGTGATTTATTGGGCATGATTTTGTACTGAGACTATTGGTCATTTAAAAAAAATGAGTTGATAATAATATTAGCTGTGTTTACTGTCTCTTTGCAGACTTGTATTATGGAGGAGACACTTTTTCAGTAGAGCAACCCCAATCATTCACATGTCCTTACTGTGGCAAAATGGGCTTCACAGAGACGTCGCTACAGGAGCATGTCACCTCAGATCATGCAGAGACATCCACAGAGGTGGTGAGTGTACTGCACACACTAAAGGAAAAAGGCTATACATTCATAGATTAATTGTATGTATTAGTCATTCACAGTGTGTCAGTATTGTTCTCAATACTTTCAAATGTCTGTTGCTGTAAGAAGCTCCAGCAGCTTAGTTTACTTCAGCCATCCAGTGATGAACTGTATAATGAAGTCATTAGATGGAGAGATGCTTTTATGTACCCTTCATCTGTCAGTGTCACTAAAATTCAGTCCTCTGTTCTTGTCTAGCACTGCACTTGGGTCAGCCAAAACTACTTCCCAGAATGCACACGCAGAGGACGTTTATGGATTGATTGTTGTCAGGGCGTGACTTTATACAAGCGTTGTGAGGGTGTTGCTCTCAGTGCTGACACCCGCGTGGCTGGCAGGTAGTCTGCCGGACAGCCAGCAGTGATGGGGAAAAATAAGAGGACCTTACAGCCTAGGAGTAGAGCCAGGTAGTCACATTTGTGCTCCAGCTGCCCACCAGTGAAATTTGAAACCAGTTTACTTTACAGAGAGTTGAGTGTCATTGTGCAACACTGAGGGGGCTTTGAAGAATAAGGCTGATATAATTCAACATTTTTATTTCAATAAAAGCGATGTGCTGGTAGCATATAGCATACTGTTATTTTATCTGCTGATTGTTTTATTAATTAATCAATTAATCATTTGTACTATAAAACGTTAGAAAACTATGCTGCTTGCATTTTTCCTGAGCCAAAAGTGACATCTTCAAATGTTATTTTGTCTAAACATCAATTCAGTCCCAAAGAAAAATACATATTCATGTAAGAAAATGCATATTCACTTTGCAGTGATGTAAAACACAGAGAAAGGCAGCAACTCCCTAAATTTGTGAAACTGAAACCATCTCATATTTAATCAAAACAGTTGTCAGTTTGGTTTCTGTTGATTGATTAATCCACTAATTCTTTGAGCTCTAAACAAATGCCATGAAAAGACCAAAACCAACAATATCTTAGTCAGTCTGTCAGTATTTCCTTTCAGCCTGTCTGTGGCACTCAGCCCTAAGAGTCTTTATTCCTACTAAGGATTTAAATCTCTAAAAACTGCTCAAGAACAGCTAAGTCATTTCTTAGTTAGGCCCTGTAGTTTTTTTTTAGCAAACAGGAGTAAGTTAAAGCATTTCTCAGGGACTATTTTCACCTGTAGATTAATACACATTTGGTGCTCTAGTATTTACAGCTCTAGTGGGATCGAAAATGAAGTACAGTGACTGTGTTCAAGGAACATGTCAAGTTGAGTTTTATTTATATAGCCCAATATCATGAATCACACATCTTCCTCAAGGGACTTTAGAATCTGTACACAGATGACGCCATCTGTCGGGGGGGAGGGCGACTGTGGTTCAGCGGGTAGAGTGGCACCCTCCCAACCGGAAAGTTGGAGGTTTGAATCACGGTACCTGCAGTCCACATGTCGAAGTGTCCTTGGGCAAGGCACTGAACCCCCCAAGTTGCCCCCGATGGTTAGAGCCGCAGATGGCTGCCTCAGTACTGTACCAGAAACAAATTTCTTGTGTGTGTAACATACTTGGCCAAATAAAGTGATTATCCTTCTGTCCTTAGCCCCTCAAATCCAATAAGGATAAACCCTTCCAAAAGTCCTTTAATGGGAACAAATGAAAGAAAGCTCAGAAAGAGGAGCAGAGGAATCTCTGTTCCAGGATGGGCAGACATGCAGTAGATTTTGTGTGCACAGAATAGAGCACCATTATGGGCAATCAGAAAGACAGTACTCATAGTCACAATATTTTCATACTTCTTTCATTTTGGTGTTCAGGGAAAACAGCAGTCATCTCAAGCAGAAACCTCTCGATCACACTCTCTTTCCAGATCTGTCCAATATGTGCTGCCTTGCCAGGAGGGGACCCAAACCATGTCACAGATGACTTTACAGCTCACCTAACATTGGAACATAGAGCACCAAGAGATTTAATATCCTTTCTGTGTCTCCACACACTAAAGTTGTGTTTACATATGTTGGTTTTAATGTTTTAATATTGATACTACTATTTATGCCATATGACTGAATTTAACCTTAACAGTCCCTGTTTATGATGAATCCAGCAGTGTTCGACATGTACGCAGGATGTTCCACCCCGGACGAGGACTGGGTGGTCCTAGAGCACGACGGACAAATATGCACTTTAATAGCAGCTCAACAGGGGGACTTTCATCCTCTGCATCGCAGAGCTCCACTTATACCCCCAGTAACAGAGAAGCAATGGACCCAATCGCAGGTGAGAACCACTGATGGACTAATATACTCTGTGCAAAGATGGGTCAGAAAGATCTGGTAGAACTAGATTAGAAGAGTTGGATCCTCCAGTAGAACCCTGTGCTGGTTAAAATATTAAAACCCTTGCACTGTATATCTTCATTCTGCTACCTCTGTTGTCACCATTCACAATAATTACTCCCAAACAAAGTTATAGCCTACTTCATATATTCTTTGTGGAGGCTTACCTTATCGATGGCTGTAACTACTGGGTTGATGGTACAGAGAAATATCCAGTCAGTTGTTTGATTAGCTTGGCAATGCTGCCAATCACACAGCTGTTCATCCACTGAACAACACTGATTGTTGATTAACATGCCATTCCTGTTGCCGGCTTACTTTTCATTTTGAGATCAAGTCACCTCTCTGTTATTTTCAATACATATATCTCGGTTGTTTTTATATTAATTCTGATATGTTGCCTTTTTCATTAATTCGGTTTAGGTACTCCACAAAAACACTTGTGTTCTACACCTAAGCCTCTGTGTGGTAGGGACAACCGTGCTAGTAGTGCCATCTTTCTCTTATGCTGTCTAATCTTTTTCTCTCCTCATCCTTAGAAAACAAAAATATGAACTGAAACCATAATGGCTGAGAGTCAAATTAATCAAATAATATGTAGCATATGTAAAGAAATCCTCACATTACTAATTCCCTGGTGACCTTCATATCCTCTTACAGGTACAGTACCTGCAGTTTTGTGACGACTTCTTTAGATACAGCCAACAGTGAAACCTATTTTTGTTGTCCCCTCAGAGTTGTTGTCTCAGCTGTCTGGTGTACGGCGTGCAGCAGGAGGGCAAATAAACTCTTCAGGACCTTCAGCCTCCCAGCTCCAGCAGCTCCAGATGCAACTGCAGCTGGAGCGGCAGCAGGCACAGGCAGCACGACAGCAAGCGGAGACAGGCCGGCACGCAACACGACGCAGCAACAACCCAGCCAACACTGGTACCACCATTCCTCCACCCAGCACAGGAAGTGCCAACACTGCCACTGTGGGTGAAAGCAATCCCTCATCCTCGTCCCATACCTCCCAGTTCCTCTTAGCACGGTGGGTGCGATCATTGGGTTTATAGTTTAAAGCACTGTTCATACATATATTCTGCCAAGTAATACTCAGAAGGAGCAACGCTGCCTGCACCATGGCATTCTAGAAACTTTTGGAGAGATTAGACGTTTATAGCGACAAATGTTCATATGATAATGCAGTTTTAATGAGTATGATAATAATGTCTGAGGAAATGCTAACCATTAATAATAAACACAAATGTGTTTTCAGACGGAAGCACTTCCATCAAAGATTGTGTCTGCTAAACATTATCTTAGAGAAACCTGCACCTTTTCTTACAGTTACATTTAAGTTATTAAGTTGATCTTGGAGCACAAGGCTGGAGATATTCTACATTATTGTTATTGTCAACAAAGGCCTCTAAAAGACCAAAACAACAATACTTTAGTTCAGTTGTCAGTACTTTCTGTATTTCCTACCCTGTCTGGCACTCAGCCACAAGGTTGTTTCCTACTTGAAACCATATCATCAACACTAGTTTGCAGCAACCACAGCGAAACAAAGAGGAAAATAAAGCATTTATGCTGCTTATTTAGACCACCACCAAGTTTTTATGGCAGCAGAGTGATGTTTGCAGGCTTTATTCAAAACAAAGTGTCCAGGAAGACGTTTAAATACAGTATGCTAAACACAATAAAGCAATTAAAATCTCCGATGTTGTGGAAGGCATTTGTAGTTCTTCAGAAATGATACTGTAAGTGTTAGTACCTAGCCCATCTGATCGCGTCATAGGTTTGAATCTTTTGATGCCTCCAGAATAGTGACACTCCGGTGGGTTCTATGATCAACTGTGTAATCAGAAAGCCACAAGTTAACTTTCTTGATTTGTTGATTAGTTATTAAAACTCTCAGGTTAATCACTTTCAAAATAATAATCAGCTCTTCCTGACTCTGAAGTCAATCTCACCAGTGTGTTAAAATTTATGTTATTCATTTTGTTCAGGTTGAATGAGCCTAAGATGTCCGAAGCAGATCGGCAGTTTCTAGAAGGAGAGCACGCAGACCGCAGCCTGTTTGTCCAGGAGCTGCTTTTGTCTACACTGATGCATGAAGAGAGCTCTTCTTCTGATGAGGATGAGCGCCGAGACTTCACCGGCTTCGAAGCCATGGGCTGTGTGGATATCATGCCTTTAGACGTGGCGTTG